CTCCTAGGTCTCCTCCTCCTCTCAAGGTGTCGGGTCGTCGGATGTCCTCGCAGCACAGGACACTCGCGAAAAACACTCGCGAATTATTATAATCGCGCGCGGACTAACTTTCGATAAAAGTCTTTCGCGCGATATTTGACGGCACTCCGCGTTTAGCTACCCGTGAAAATATCAAGTTCCGTCGGTCCAGTCAGCACCCGAGTCGGTGAGCTTTTCGGGACACACGGTAACTCTTCAAGCAAAGGCTAGGACCGAAGCGGAAGAAGACGAATCGACTGACTTGAATCCGACATCTCTTGTTTCTTAGAAATCACGTCTAAAATTGACTCAACCATCGCATAGCCAACGGTTCAGGTCGAATCACCAGGGCGGATACCATACACGTGATATCAAAAGTCACCCAGGCTATCGAGAAGGCTGGTAGATGTGACGAGAGAGAAGGTACTCACCGCCGATGCCTAACAATCTAGACAATCGGACAACTGGGATCCAGCCTCTCGGCACACGCAATAACCGCCCGAACTAAGCTCTGATCGAGTCAGATTAAACGCGATTTGTTTAGCAAGGGGAAGGGTAAGGTATTAAGGAAGGGAAGATAAAGGTCGTTGGCGATTAAATAATCGCAAGCGCCACATAGGAGCCCTTTCACGACTCGTGGCAATGCTGTGTTGAAAATGAAAAATAGTCCGAGCGCTCCAGACTAATACGCGCTTATATAATCGCGTAAATCAGTGCGTGAAACGCACGCGCCACATATGAGCCCTTTCACGACTCGTGGCAATGCTGTATCGAAAATAAAAAATCAAGAGAAACGACGAAAACAAGTCAGCCGATTGAAATCTTGCCGCTTGAGACCGAACCACTTGTCAAAGACAGAGCGTGTTCTCAATCAGCCGTTTAATGCAATTTGCAACTGTGCGAAACACAACACATCAAGCGGTAGCGAGTGCGTGTAACATTCACAGCCGGCATCACCAGTGCCGCGGCGCACGTGGCGTGAAGACGTAGCCGACTACGCCTCAATGAGATCCCGCGCTCCCTGCACCCCTTGACAGTGCGACTCGACCGGCTC